CTATATCTATTCATTTGTGCATGTTTAATTTTTTTTCTTGGGTTTTCTTGGCAGTGCGTATGTAAATGGAACAACTATTGTTACACTCAAATACACGAACCGGTTCACTAATAAACATTGTTTGTGCTTTGGTGTCGATGAGTGCTTAACAAGTTCAAGAACTCAAGTCGATGAGTTCAATTTATTTTTGAATTGATTTTTCTTAATTTTTATACCAATTACATAAATGTTTTGACTCATTAAATTTTTTATTTGCACATTGTGTGGTAATGACTTAAAAGTCCTAGACTTGTCAAAAAACAATTTTGTTTGCATTTTCAAAGTTTGTTTTTAGTGGTGAATTACTCAAGAGGTACTTAATGAATGAGATTAGTACTTCTCATTATCTGTCTTTTTCTACCTTTTTTGATGATTTTTTGGGAGAATGGCAAAAAAATGATAGGAAAAAAGGACGGATAATGAGAAGTAGTAATTTAACTACTTAAGTTATTCTTGAGTAATACACGAAAGAAAAAAAAGACACAGAAAAGACAAACAAAACTAAATCTGATGGTTCTAGAACTTTTAAGTCATTATTATCACACTATACTAATAAAAAATTTAATGAGCAAAACTATTTGTTTAATCAGTATGAAAAATAAAAAAACAAATCTAAAAGAATTGAACTCACCAACTTGAGTTCTTGAATCTGTTAAGCGGTCAACGACAGCAAAGCACAGGCTACGCTAATTAATGAACCGGTTTGTGTGTTTGAATGTAACAAAAGTTGTTCCACTTGCATAACCCCTGCCCAGAAAAAAACATGTGAACATGCACAAAAGAATAGATGCAGTGCCAATGTGGTCAAGAATAACGTAACAAAGACACCGAAGAACATAGCGGCGACTAGGACACAAAGCGCGTGGTATGAGAAATACAAAGAAGCAAAACGTACTTTAACTTAAATGAAAAACCCTCGATTTGTTAAAAAATGAAAAGGCATACTATATAAGGAAGGCAATAATCAAGAAACTTTGAGACACAAAACAATGGTTACAAAGCTGAATCCAACAAAGATTACAAAGCTGCAAATGCAAGAGAGCACTACGAGCATTTCAGAGACTAATTCTTCAGTATCATCACATCAAATTGATACGGGGTTATTTTTACCAATCACTTTGACACTTTGAATGCCACGGCCTCACTTTAATTGAAATCATTTTCCCATCACGACGCCCTATTAAACTGTAAACACGCCAAAAAATTCACCAAGACCCATAACCAACCCCAATTTCTTTTGCCATTGAGATGCCTAACACAATACACATATCAATATGGACATAGCATAAGTATGTGTTCTAGTCTATTATCTAGAAACAACGACACATTAATACGAGTTACGTATCAACCACACGCCAAAATCTAAATAAAACTAGAAATCGAAATAAAATAAATCACTAAAAGTAATTTCCCAACGAGCCGTATTAAAGAAGGGATGAAATCAAGAACCTGGAATATTACCTGTGCACACTGCATCTAACACGATTGAAGCTTTTTTGTTTTGATGCAGTTCCATGGCACTCTTCTTCTTTACAAGAAATCTCTATACAGCAATTCGCCATGGTCGTTTTGAGAATCTGAACCAAAAATTGTAAAACGCGAGTTTTGCATTTACAACAAAACAAAATGTAACGACCTCTATTGTTTTCTTGAAAATAGAGAAAATAGAGAGATCTAAGAGTTATTTCGACAAAACTCAGAGTAATTTTTTGTTTAAAATTCTAAATTTTAGAAAGGTCATCAGTGGGGTTAACTGGTTTTAGATCTACATAATTTTGTAATGAGACCATTAGCAGTCTGCCCTAACCTTTTTCTCTTCCTTTTATTTAGTTCTCCTTCGGGAACGGACGGTGGCTGAAACTGGACGGCGGCGGAGCGGCACGGAGATCGGAGCTGGGTTGCGCGGCTGCTGCTCGCGAACTGGCTTCAACGGCGACGGCGGCTGACCTCTCTGCCTGCTCGACGCGGCTGACTGCACAGCCGAACAGAACCCCTCTCACATTCTGTGCTCGACGAATCCACCACTTGTTAGCAGAAGTTGGGCCATCTTTTTTTCTTTTTTTGATAACTTTTTTTTATTTGTATATTTCTATTGACTATATGATAAAATAAAATATTTTTATCGCTTTTGAATTTGTAGAATTTTTGATATAATTTTTAATATACTAGTATGATTTTTTATTTTTTAGTGATGTACTAATATGTAAAACAAAATGATTTTAAAATGTGAGAGATTTTATTTCGTAATTTCCAATTTGTAATCAACTTTAGAACGAAGGAAGTGTAATGAAATAAAATATCAATTACTTATTTTTGTTTTTCAATATTTTTCTTACACTACTTGAGAGTCAAATTGATGAATTTAATCGATATAGAAAGAATATTTAAATAATACTCTCTTCGTCCCAATTAAATTGCATGTTTACTATTTACACAGTCAAACTTATTTACTTTTTTTTCCATATTTTCGTTAGTAATTTGATAAAATAATATAGTCACGATATCATTAGTTTTGTAGATTTTTTTATATTGTTTTAAACATGTAATTTTTATTTCTTAATTCTACATCGTTTTTCATGTGAAATAATTTTAAAATAACTTAAGTCAAACGTTATAAACCGAAATAACTCATTTAAATTGGGACGGAGGGAGTACAATTTATAGTATGTCATTTCAATTCAAATAAAAAACTCAAAAAGTAATTGGAGTTTTATAGTTCCATATGATCATATTATACCACACACATAAATTCTCGTACAAACTTCTAAATCAGTTATAACTAAAATAATAATAGTTGTAACTGTTAGACTATAATAATTACCTATATAATAGTAGTCTTTGAATTTTTGTTTAGTTAGTTTCTATTATTGATTCTAGTCCTAATTAAGGTTACACTCTCTTATATATCTACTCTGTCATGTATTTCATGAGTAATACATCTATTCCATTATTCAATATTGTATTAGAATCACCGGTCTTGGTGCCCTAAAATTCTTTATCTCCGCTCCTTGCGGGCGGCATCACCCTTCTCGTCGGGTCATTACTCTTCCTCCAATCAATATTCTTCTCCTCTACCAGCAAATTCACCTGCAATACCCTCTACCAAAATCATACAAAAACATCAACCCTACCTCCTTCATCCACGTCCAACCCTACCTTATAATTGTCATATCCTAAACCTCATATTTCTCGCCTTCAACAAATTTGCATGTGTGACTGGAAATTGAAAAGTTACATTTGTCTGTGTCTCTTCTAAAGTTCGAGGGCATGAAAAGCGACAAAGAAGAAGAGAATGTCCCAAAAGGAAAAAATATGAAATTCTTCGCCCATGCTCCAATTGTCAACACTCTTCGTCAGAAAAATACTCAGCATATACACTTTTAACTTTTAAGGTTATTCGCCACGCAATGAAGATCACTCTCCACTTCTAGCACACTTACTCACGAAAGCACTATCTTCTCCGCGGTTCGAGGTTATTGTTTCTTAGTTTTCACTTGTGACACAAGTCTAGCTTTAGAGCGAATGCTAGACAATAGTAATAATTATCTCTGTTACGGTAATCTTTGTATTTTAATTTAGCCAATTTTTTATTATTGATTCATAGTCTTAGTTGAGGTTGCACTTTCTTTTGTTTATATATACTCTGCCATGTATTCAATTGATGATAAGAAACTACTGAGTAAGCCGATTGAGGGGTAGTGTATGACTAAGTAAAGAGTATAAGTACACAGCAAACGAATGCAATACAAAAGTATTATTTGCTTAATATTGGATCCACTTACAAATGAAGGGATAAGGGTAGTTATAGTACTTTCTAATCATTGGCTGCAATGGTAGTAGACTGTGACTGACACTCCTTTATAGTCTAGTTGTTGTCGTTGGTATATGGAATCATATACGACAAGGGCATGTTGTCTTTTTGTGAACCCATGCACCGACATGGCCATGATGTTGTGACAGCAATCCGCATGGGCTACATGGTATCTTTTTCAAGTACGGCTCTATTTACATTTATAGGCTCTCTTGTCGTTGTCTCCTTAGTTTATTGAGTGAACCTCACATGCGCTTAGCCCTAAGGTGGTGAGTCTTTTGATCGGCTCAACCCTAACGGTACCTAGCCACTTGGCTCGGCTTGGTATCCCAAGTGCAACAAGGCATCAATACGTTATGTGGCTTTATGGGTCATCTTATGAGGTCTGTTGTCTCTTCGGTGGCGTGGGGTTATCATCAATCATTTATTTTTTCTTTTTTTGAAAGAAGCATAACATTAAAGAGATTGAAAATAAAGTCTGCAGTGAAACTTAACAACCCACTCTCTACGCTCTCAATGGAATGAGTAGTCCCCGCCAATAAATGTGCAACCTGATTAGCTGAGCGAAAAATAAATCTAAAACTAATCTAAAATTCATCACTATGGCTTCAGCCTCTCTAGCACTGAAGCTACCTCTAAATCAGATATTCTTTGCTGCAATGAACATTCCCTCATGACCGCGAGCTAAGAAACCAAAACCTACAAAACCATTAACAAGACCTACTAAAGCATCTGCATTTACTTTGATGGCATCCATAGGTGGTCATTTCCACTCACGTTCAACGACAGGGCATTCCACAGAGTGCACCGGTCAGTTACATATAGCCTGCCACTAATCAAAGTCAGAGTGAAGAACCAGACACGAGTCTATTCATTGACACTCCATACTTTTGATAACTATGCAACGTCTCCAAACACGATTCCCTATTAGGCCATTACCTCTTGGCTCGGGTCCTAGCCCATCCCATTTCTTCGTAGCTAATCAGTGAATTGGGCCTGCATTATTACATATCAACTCATTCTAATGGACATTGTCCTAGTTTACAAACTACATTTGGGCCAACCTAATCCATCCATATTACCCGAGAATACAAAATTGTGATTTGACATTAGTAATAAAATTTTAAGTATAGACAAACAGAGGCAATATGGGCGTTCACCATCTTCCCACTTCGTCTCAACTGTGAATTCCTTAAATACCCCTCTCCCTCTTCTCCTTCCGCCATAACAGTAATCCCTCATTTTCAGTGTGAGAGAGAGAGAGAGGAGAGGTTATCGGCAATGGAGAATAACCGTCGCTCCTCTTTCTCGAGCTTCAGGTCTTACATGGCGGCGCTCTCTGACACGCCGCACCGCCTGGCTCGCAGAGCCCTCTCGGTCTCCACTTACTCCGAGGAATCCGGCCGCGACGTCCGCGCTCGATCCGGCGGCGACATGAAGAGGACTCTCCGGTGGTACGACCTCGTCGGGCTCGGAATCGGCGGCATGGTCGGCGCCGGCGTCTTCGTCACTACCGGCCGCGCCAGTCACGTCTACGCCGGCCCTGCCGTCGTCCTGTCCTACGCCATTGCCGGACTCTGCGCGCTCCTCTCCGCCTTCTGCTACACCGAATTCGCCGTCGAGATGCCGGTCGCCGGCGGCGCGTTCAGCTACATCCGCACCACATTCGGTCCTCGCCTCAAACTCCCTCCCTCCCTACTCAATCGGTTAATTTCGCCGGTAACGATCTCAGCATAAACTAACACCGACTCGATCGGAATCGATTTTTGCAGGAGAATTTCTCGCGTTCATCACCGGAGCAAACCTAATCATCGATTACGTTCTCTCTAACGCCGCCGTGGCCAGGAGTTTCACCGCTTATCTATGCACCGCCATCGGCCTGTCGTCCGACGCGCGGCTGAGATTCACAGTCTCGGCGCTCCCCAACGGTTTCAACGAGATTGATTTCGTTGCGGTGGCGGTGGTTTTAACCCTCACCGTCGTCATCTGCTACAGGTTTATTTCATCACAATCACATTTCATTCTGTTTCACCGGTTTTTGCTATTCTCCCGTTTTGGTCCGCTTTAAAAAAATTCAAAAATAAATTCATAAAAACTTTTTCACACCAATTTTGTGTCATCCTCTACTTGGTTAGTTGTCAAAGTTGATCCTATCGTCTAGTAAAAAAAATATGCACTATTTCCGTTACAAAAGATTTATTTTTCTATTTTAATTTTTTCTATCGTTCCGCTTTTTTTTATCATAAATAAAATATAAAAAATTATTTTGAGTAAAAAATATTAAAATTTTTTATAGCAAAAATACAAAAATATTTTTTAATAATTTGTTGTTAAATAATGTTGTAATATGACCAAAAAATAAAAAAGGTGATCATAGTTTTGGAGCGAAAAGGGAGCACTCACATAATCCGTACTCCGTTGGTTCCTAAAATTTGTAACATTTTTAACCATAAACTAAAAATAATTGAAAAAATAAATGATATAAAAATTAGTATATCAAAATTATACTCTATTAGTAAATGAATCCAATTATATTAGTATAATTAAATATAGTTTTTTTTCAATTTGTAATTAAAGTGTATCATTATTTGATAGAAAATCAAAACAAGAACAATTTTCAGAATAAGAGTATAAGATTAAGGTTTTGAATAAATTTGCATTTATTTTGGACCAAAACATACTTAAACAAAAATGAAACTATCTTTTTTCTTCTTTGGGGCGCAGCACGAGAGGAAGTTCGATGTTGAACATGGCGTTAACGGCGCTGCACATCACGTTCATAGTGTTCGTGATAGTGATCGGGTTCACAAAGGGTGACCCGAAGAACATGACCCGACCCGCGGATCCGAAGCTGCCGGGCGGGTTTTCGCCGTTCGGGGCGTCGGGGGTGGTCAGCGGCGCCGCCATGGTGTACCTGAGTTACATCGGTTACGACGCCGTGTCGACGATGGCCGAGGAGGTGAGGAATCCGGTGAAGGACATACCCATCGGAGTATCCGGATCCGTTGTCCTCGTGACCGTACTTTATTGCCTCATGGCCGCTTCTATGTCCATGCTCCTCCCATATGACAAGGTAATTAACCACATTAAATTTTAACTCAATTCTTCAAATCTTAAAATATATTCTATCTGTCCCGTTAAAACTTGCTATGAGCACGTTTGAGAATAATATTAGAAATTAGGGTTAACGTTTTGAAGAGGCTACGTACAGGTAGCGTTTGAAAGTAATTTGCCGTTAAAGTTCTATAAAAACGCTAACACTAATTTCTAACACTCTTCACAAACAGGTTCTATGTCTGATTTGACACGAATAATAACAAAAATTAAACGATTTTTTTTCTAAACAACAAAAGTTAAATAATGGAAGGTGTAAAAGATCGAAACAACTTCCGTCACAAAAAAGTTTTTTCAAAACATAGAAACAAACCATTTTCTTTGTGGGAGGGACGGAAAAAAAACTCCAAGCAACATTTTTTGTGTGACAGATCAGAGGAAGTGTTGAGGTGTTTTAGTGTCTGGTTTGCCAACAATTTTAACGTTAGGATAAGATGTGCATAGCAATATTTAGATTAATAGTGTAAGAAATATTTGCACTAAATAGCAATAAAACTTAAGTCATCTCCCTAAATAGCACTTAATAATGTTCATAATGTTCTGGCGAATATTTACTTGAATAATGACTAATGCATATTGACTAAAACTGCTATATTGGGAAGAAAAACACATGTAGTGCTATTTAGGGAAAGTCATTATGTTTTAGTGCTATTTAAGTAAATTTCTCTAATAGTAAATATACATAATGTGACATGTAGATTAATAATTTGTAAGGGAAAAATAATGATTTTACTCCATTGAAAGTGAATATTTTTTGATTCACATGAAAATCGAATGTTACTTTTTTTCGGACGGAGCCACGGAGGAAATACAATATTCTGTTCATTTCGTTTTTTTCAATAATTATTTTCAGAAAATTTTTACTCTGTATTTTTTACTCACAAGTCACTGCAATTAAGTAAAACGGATACACCAAATGAGTAATAATGCAAAAGTAAGAAAAAAAAGAAAAATGATCCAATTATGTACGAGAATCCTTTGAAATAGGCAAAGTAGTTGGAAAGGATAAGATCATCAGGAATTTACACTTCTGCCATCAGTTAAACTGTTACGGAGTAAATTATTTACTCATTGTTTAATCGCACAATGCAATGCTATAGTAGACGTATAATGATGTCGCCTGACCATTTAGTTCCCGTGTTTAGACGGCGCTTCAGATACCTCATCACGATATTAATTACGGAGTAATTAATTAGTATGAGTTGGATTATGACCCTTTTAATGCATCAGATAGCCGTTTATTGTTACTCCGTATTATATTAAGGACATGTTCGAGAATAACGTTAGAGATTAGCGTTAGCGCTTTGAAAAAATACCTACGGACCGCGTTTAGCGTTGGCGCTTTCAAAGTAATATGCATCGTTAAAATTTTATCCAAAACGCTAACGATAATTTCTAGCGTTATTTCCAAATGGGCCCTAATAATCCACATTTTAGATGTGGATGTACGTTCCAACTTTTAAACTTAATAGCCAATTAAAAAAATAATGCAACTTGTGATATAATAAAATCACTTGTAATGATGGATTAAACAACAATGAGAGGGGTATTAAATTATTATTTGAGTAGACAAGAATCCAAACATGTTCTCTATGGGTCCTCTTTCATTTTTCTGACATTTGTTGTTTTTTATTCGTATGGAAACTATATTCTTATTTCTTTGTTTTGGTAACCATTGGAATGCAAAATAGTTCAGGTATATTCCATAGTAGTACCAAAAAAAATGTCAAAATTACTCTCAAGTCAAGCATAAGATTGAAATAAAGGGACGATCCTATATTGTTTTGGGAATACAATTTGGGACTCGTAAAGTCATAAAGGAAGAACCCCTCCAACCTTGTGGCACTCTCCGAATCTACGAGACGATCATTTGAGAGAAAATAAATTTGATTTTAATTCCCGATTAGTGGTAAAAATTAGAATCTGCATCCGGTACTTATAGAGGTCGTATGTTTAACATATATACTTGTTTCTACTACAATAGTAAGAAATCAAACCCGAGTATTATTCTCGTATCACCCTTTGCCTTGCCAACTATACAACGTTGCCCGCTATAGGAGTCCTCATAGATCATAGTAGTGGTGGATACGACTCCAGTTTTAGATCACTTCTGGGATCGTAACATTAATTTGAGGTTTAGAAATAATAATGATACATACTCCATAAAAAAGTAAATAAATTATTTTTGTGTGGATTCAATCTTTTTTAGGCAAATTCTTTTGTGGTCTTTAGGTCAATGCTAATTTTATAGACCTTAATACATAAAATTTTTATATTTAGTGTGCCTTATGAAAAAAATCAACTCTTAGACAATAAAAATTACATAAAAAAGTTTATATGTGAAATGTAGACCTTTAGAACCACGATAAAATAACTTATCATTAAACAAATTTAGATGTTGACATAATTACACCGCCAAAATGATGTGACGTGTCCATCCAAAACTCCAATTAATAATTGTTGAGCAGTATTTCTTTTTTTCTTTGACAACCGAATAAGTGTTTTATTATCAATACTATTTCAAACATTTTCAATGACATTTGTTTTTTTGTGGGGACACGTTAGCGTAAATAAATGAGACCCTTTACCAATTTTCCAGAGAAAACAAACTTCTCTCCATGTCATAGGAGTATTATTCTATGTTGGTGTTTTAATTTTTTACTACTCCGGAGTAGGTAAAAAGGAGAAAGATAGTGGGAGTAAAACTTTTTACACTTATTATTAGAGAAATAATTTTAGTTTAATTTCTAGGAAACTATTTTCTCATCTATACTTGGTTTAGGCAACTAGTGCACCATGCAAAAATGACCATACATCATATCATGATCATGATGATAATGACCCTACACTGTATTTTGGTTGGTGGAGCCTTGGGACGAGGAAGGTCACAAGACCGAGATTTATTTCCTCTACCATGATTTTGATTGATGTGATGTTTTGTAGATTTTACACTAATTAGCCATTCATCCAAGTAAAATCCAATTGAAAACAACACAAAATTAGCCACCTCATGATGACACGAATTTAGGATTTAGCATGGACTCGAGCCCATTAGGTCGGTTAGACTATTTCTACATCCTTATACTTTGGTATATTGTAATTCTTTTATCATTACAAATCAATGAATAAGAATAACAAAACTCTAATTTATCTCTCTTCTCTTTTCTTGAGAGTTTGAAGACTTGGGAACGTTTTCCATCTTTCTCTTCTCTCATTTTCTTGGAGCTAGAAGAACGCTTGAAGTTCTTTCGTATGCAATACGATATTTCTATCATCAGGTTTGACCCCGGGCGTCATGTCTGGTCCTGGCATGAACACCGCGTTATTGTGAGTGTGACAAAGGGGACTGGACTGCGGTCACGAGTTGCCCTTCTCAACCACAAATCAATGAAAATTTAACACACATCCACATCAACCAATAATAATAATTCACACCTTACACTCCATCACTCTCCCTTCGCACCTACCATAGCACACATCTTTATGCCTCCACACCATACTATTTTACACTCCATCAAGCCCTTCAAGCCCCCAACTACACAGCTTTATGGTGAGGTTTAACGGGCTTTATTATTATTATTATTATTATTATTATTATTATTATTATTATTATTTTGAATTATTTATGGAATTGTCGATATGAATAATAATCATGTATTTTATTTTGAATGTATTCCTTAAAAGTCTTAATAATCAGCTTGTCTTGCATGGCTGACAGATTGATCCAGACGCGCCATTCAACGCGGCGTTCAGCGGCGGCGCGGTTGGATGGAGGTGGGTGTCCAATGTTATCGGAGCGGGGGCGAGCTTCGGGATACTAACGTCACTGCTAGTGGCGATGCTGGGTCAGGCCCGGTACATGTGCGTCATCGGACGGTCTGGGGTGGTCCCGAGGTGGTTTGCCAAAGTCCACCCCAGCACGTCCACGCCAGTCAACACCACACTCTTCCTTGGTACGTGGCATTCTCTTCCTATCTCCCCTATCTGTTTTATTTTTTTTTGTTTTTTATTTGTTTGGATAGAGATAGAAATTGTTTGTCTAGTCAGCATAATGTAAGATTTAAGGTTGTTTTTTACTCCTTCCCCTCCTTAAAAAATTGGGCTATAGCCCCAAAGCTACCATTTTAGTATCAAAATGTGTTGTTCTAGACTTCTAGTTTTTGCACGAAATTCACGTTTTATTTGCATTCACGTTTTTTTTACTGTGGACAGAGACTGTTTAATTTGCATTGATGGTTTTTTTATCCCAACCAAACAACAAAATTCACGTTTTCTATCCAACCAAACAACAAATGATAACTGAGAAAAGGAAAAAAAAGTCATTTTTTTGGTTTTCTTTATCATCTAATTCTTGAGGGGACCCCAGCACCTAAATGTGGGACCCACAAGTCAAATGGCTAAGATAATCGAAAGACACCCATTAATCTGAAGAGGATCAGTTTCCGGATATTCAGAAGTTTTAAAATAATAATTTTTGCTTCCCGTCTCTGTCCGTTACGTTATCTCTTTCTCTGTTGCTGCTTGGATTATTATCATTTACTGGTCTGCTGTATTGGGCCCACTTCGAACCGTTTCTATTTGATCTTTGTCCCTTCTCCATTCACTCCTTTCATGCATTTTGTTAGGATTTGGTTGAATTAGTACTTGGATATAGGGCTTCTTTGGAAATAGCGTTAGCATTTTAGATAAAAATTTTAACGGTGCAGATTATTTTGAAAACGCTTAACACTTTCCATGGATAGCCGTTTCAAAATGTTAACGCTAATCTTTAACGTTATTCCCAAACAGACCCATAGTGTTATTCAACTAGAGGTCACAAGTTTGAATTCCAATCCTCTTCAGTTTTTTTTAAAAATAATACTTACGTGCATAGTTCGAGTAGAAATAAATATGAAAACCTTTCTCGTAAGCTTAGCTACAAACCAAAGTTAGGTTTGAGTTTTTGGTTGAATTGGCTGGATCACCCATTGGTCATATAGTTTTCTATTTTTTTTGCTAGGTTGAAGTGCATTGTCTTTTTCATAGAGAAACTTTGGTTTTAGCCTTAGTTTAAGTGCAATAAGGAGTCAAGCTATTGAAGCCTTTAGGAAGAAATGCCAAGAGTGTATTATCTTATGTAGTCTCACAAGTGAGGTCTGAATATGGTAAAGATGCAGTTATAGATTACGTCCATGTACCCGTTGGAGAGAGTTGTATACTTGAAAAAAATTAGAACATTAGTTTCTTTATTTTTGTTTTTTTTGATGACGTGGGGGAACGTAATCCTACTGACGTCGTCTTATGGTTTGTGATCAACTAAGATTGTTTGTAAATTTCATGAACGTTATTGCCGTAAAAGCATCAAATTAAAAATCGTGCACTAAAACATCTTCCGCCCTTAAGATTTTACTAGTTTTGTACATCACAATGGTTTAATTTTGTCATTAACTCATTTTTGTATGCAAGTCCGCACAAACAAATGAATGAATTTGGAATTAAAGTTAAATTACAGACTCCCAAATTAGCTAGCACTGATCACTCTATCATTTATTTTATTTTTGGTATATTCTTTGGTTTAATTTGGGATATTAGTAACTAGCTAGTATTTTCATTAGTGTGCATTTCCAATTTTTAGCAAAAGGCTGAACCTGTGGGGAAAAGCAATCCTCAAATAGTTTAATAATTGTGTGTCTTCTTTGTAAATTACAAAATGCCAAAAATAATATGGAATGTACTTTTCAATAATAAAATTGTGTACAACTTAAACTCTTCTTGAGATAAAGACTCCCATCACCCATACAATCACACTTTGGCTAACCTTTTAACTTATGTGTGAGAATATAAAACATTTTGTGGAACTACAACTGCAAGCTGATCGAACTTTGTGTTTGAGTTCGTTTGTTGACATGTTATCATATTCTTGTTAATTTAGAGGTCACGAGTTTGAAGTTTATTGTTACCTTATTTTTTAAAAAAATTATTGTTCACGTACAAGGCTCGAACAGAAATTAAATTTGCTTATATTGGTTCCATAACATATCTTTGGCAAGTGGACATAATTGTTAAAGAAGCTAAAATGGGAAATGCGATTTAATATATTGGGACAGAGGGTATTAGAAATCTTGTTCCAACGAATATAATATAAATGGAAATGGAATTTATGAATGTGCAGCTTTAGACAATGATCTTGATTCAATCTTCTATTTGAAAGATTCTATTCAAAGATTTTGGTGATCAACAGAGATTATAGTTGTCATGCTTAGTTGACTAATTAAAGTATTGATTAAAACTCAAAAGGGGCCCTAATAAGATTCATGTTGCTTTCCTTCATTTGATTCACCCACACTAATATTTGTCAATCTTTTTGTATTGAGTCAGAGTCTCTTTAGTTTCAACTAGGGTAAAATTTGTGCGATTCTATTGTGTTTGATATCGTAGATTGATCTTTATCTTTCAATGTCTCAGGCATATTCACGGCAGCAATCGCGCTCTTCACCGACTTGCAAATCCTCCTGAACCTCGTGTCGATCGGCACGCTCTTCGTCTTCTACATGGTCGCGAATGCCGTGATCTACAGGCGGTACGTGTCGGCGGCGGGTGCGGGGACCACGAGCCCCCGCCCCACGCTGGCGTACCTGCTGTGCTTCACCCTCACCGCGGTCCTCTTCACCCTGTTGTGGCACTACACCCCTCCGGGGAGGGCGAAGTCCTTCCTCCTAGGGGCGTGCGTCCTCTTCGCCATCGTCATCCTCCAGCTCTTCCAGCACATGGTCCCACAGGCGACCAGACCGGAGTTTTGGGGCGTCCCTCTGATGCCGTGGATCCCCTCCGCCTCCATCTTCCTCAACATATTCCTCCTGGGGGCCCTCGATAGCCCCTCGTACGTTCGGTTCGGATTCTTTTCGGGCCTCGCCGTGCTTGTGTACGTGATGTATAGTGTGCATGCTAGCTTTGATGCTGAGGAACAAAAGGGTGTTGGGCAAGAGAATAATAGTGTTGAGATGAAGGAATATAATGAAGCCCATGGGAATGTCTCCAAGGTGTAAATATGCCTAGTCTAGCTAGTAGTAGTATTTAATTGATGAGAACTAAAAAAAGAAAAAGGGTAGAAAAGGAATCTCAAATGGGATAAGGTTGCACTTGCCAAGTTGTATAGTCTGGTTCCCAATCCTAGTAGCAATTGGACTCTAAGTTCAAGATCCCCCATGTATATGGAAATTCTAATTAATTTGGAATCAAATATAATATAATGGTTTATTTTGGGGTTCAAACTACCTATTTGTTCTCTCATAGATTTATTTTGATTGAAACTAAAACTCTAAGGGACAATGACCCTCCTTGACACAATTTTGATGGACTAATTTTTTAGTGGAAAATTATTTTTTGTGTGTAATGATTAGTTAAGAGCTATTAGAAATGTTTGATGAATCACCTCTTTTTATATAAAAAGTTAGATTTTAAAAAAGAGGGATTGTAAAGTTACACCATTTCAATTGTGTCAAGATTCATATGAAAATTCATTCAGGTTCGAGTTCCGTAGATACAAAAGTGTTGGTTTTTCAACCCATATTAATTATAGTAAAATAATACGGAGTATATATTATACGTCGTTTACTCCGAAATATATATAAAATTAAGATTTAGTCCGGAGTAAGAAATTACAACAAGCATTTATGAATATTAATTAAGTCATCAACATCAATTTAATATTGTAGGGAACAAAAAAATCTCTTCCCTAGAACAAATATTCTAAATTCAGGGATATAAATAAGATACTCAAGTGAAATATTGTTCTGTGCATTTCCTTTTATGAGTTGTATAGTATATGATCACCTTTAACCATTTTGCTTCCTCTTCATCCTTTTCTTTGCTTCGTGAAGTTTCTCAAATATAAATGTTCATGCAAACGAACTAGAAATAAAATAAATAATTAAAGAAAGCATGAGGGGAATACGATGGAAGTCATTTGAGTATGCTATTTTATACTCCTTCCGTCCCGGAAAACATGTGAGTTTTGGTTTTGGAAAGAAATTTAAGGGGAGTGTATTTTGGTATTGAATTTCCAAAAATGTCCTTTGATGTGATGAGTAAAAGTATGATTTGATGGATAGATTATTAGTAAAAAGGTATGATGTGATAGGTAGGGTATAAAAAAGTAAGGCGTAAAAGTGACTTTTTAATAGAAATGAGAAGTATATTTTGGGACGGATGAAAAAAGAAAGGTGAAAAGTTTTCTAGGACGGAAGGAGCATTTATTTTCAGTTGCATTCAAGAGGCCCGGGTGCCTGGCGCTCCCGTAAAATAGCGAGCTTGAATTTAATATTTTAGGATGCGAGCCGAACTCGAACTTTATAAACGATGATCTGCAAAATCAAGGATAGACTAGGCCAGGCTTTATATATTCAAGTACGTGGACTACTAGCCCGGTCTGGCCGAATGAATAATACGTAATAATAATAATAACAATAATAACAACAACAACAACAACAACAATGACAATACAGTGAGGTTCTAGTGACACCGGAGTACGGTGCCACTCTAGTGCCACTTGCATATTGGAACACCTCCGGTGCTCCGTTCGTAAAATTGACGGTTCATATCCTCCTAACTCACCCCATTAACCCCCCACCCTACCTCGCCCCTGCACCCCCACCCCACCTCGCCGTAAGCCCCCCCCCTACAAAATGTGTGGCTAGTATGGATATTATTAGAGTTTCCACATTGAAAAAAAAGAGAAATACCACTAGCATATATAAAAGGGTTAAACCATACTCATCATCTTAAGTTTTTGAGTTAAGACAGTAGGTCCCGATTTTGTATGCAAGTGGTTCATTTTATCCGACACTCTACCAGTTGTTCTCGACCCACGAGAGTAGGCTCAGTCCGAATTTGATTCTTCCTGATTGTTTGGACTTATTCTGGAATAGATTTTACAAATATGATACGACAAATCTATTCCTTTATCAAAAATTATATACATTGGTGGAGCATTTGCACAATTTGTCATAATTTAAAGGATGGATAGACTTTGTGAGATACGATTATTAATTATATAAGTATCATATAATTAATTTTTTTTCTCACAAAGTCCATCCATCCTTTAAATTTTACCATATTTTGCAAATCGTGTTGAGATCTTCTCCAGTTGACCAGCACTCGGTGATCCGGTGTTAGCGCAAGCCGATGATTAAGAAGAAGAATATGTTGGTAATTACGGTGTGGGGGTAATTAGTACGCGTTGTTATGAAAAAAAAGAAAATTAGTTTCCCCTATTCAAAATGCCTTATTAGTGTTTTGGACCTGCAAGCAAAGCCCAGATCCATTAGCCCATTTCTCTTTTATCGTCTCAGTCCAGAAAGAGTTTATCAGTCCGGTCTCAAATCATAACATTTGGCATATTCGACTCTAAGGGCTCTTTTTAGATCCGTAGTTTATCGGTTTGAACCAGTGAATCGCTTAAAACTATTATCTAAAATGCAAAAAAAAGCGTCTAAATGGTTTTTACAATACTCTTTCCGGTCCATTGTTTTTATATTTGACTTTTTACGGTCATTGGCGCAAAAGTTTGACCATTAATAACTACGGAGTATATTTATTTCCTAAAAAACTATACTTATACATAAATAAATATTATAAAGATTTGATAAACCAAATATGTATTTTAGACTAAATCCAATTAGATTAAATTTTCATAACTAATCAGTAATTATGCTTATTTTCATAATTCGTTATCAAAGTTTTAAAAATTGGACCAAGGAGAGTTAAATATAAACATCTTTTTTAATGGAAGGCCTATATTTTTTGAATTTTTTTGTCATATAAATTCTTTTTTTCATATGTAATGTTTAATTGACTTTAAACTTTAAAGCATTATTTATAGTTAGATTTTTGTTTCTCATCATATTTTATTTTAGAAAAGTTTTAAATTGTTTTGCGAAGTAATACTGTGTACACAAATTAAATGTTACAATTTTAGTTATACATGCATGTTCTTCAGTGTAATATTTGTATATGTTTCCTTCATTATAATTTGTATTGCATTAAGAGCAAATTAACTAAATAGTACTAAACATAATGACTTTACCTAAATAATGTCATATTTTTTATTTCCAAATGTAACATTTTTTGTCATTATTCATTAGTCATTATTTAAATAAATGCTTACCATCACTGGATATTATTCCTTCTTCTAGACATTGGGAAATGACTTATATTTTAGTGCAAATAATTCTTACATCAAATCAAAACAAAAAAATTCAAAAAAATTAAGATAAATATTATGGAGTAACAAAAATAATAACCAAGACGACAATAATAAGAACTACAACAACAACAACCATAATAATAATAATAATAATAATAATAATAATAATAATAATAATAATTATTATTATTAATATAACAGTCTTTCATCTTTCGTTATCGTTGATGCCAAAGAAACATTGCGGCGAAATTAAAGGAACGCTATCTTTGATTAAGTATAATGATGACATATAAATTATTTCATAATGAGGAAATTACATCGTTTTAGCACTAATTAATTAGTGATATCATTGTAAGATAATGCTCTAGAGTCTACCTCTATTAATGGTTTTTTTTAGATTCTATGGCTTTTTGTTAGTGGGTTTTCTTTTTTTGGATTAGTTGTAAGTGGGTTTGTTTGGATGTCATATGTTTTTTGACAAGTTTGTGTATTGTGTATATTCTAAGTCTAAGGGTAGTTATGACATGTTTTTTTAAGAAAGAAAAATTAAAGTAAGAATAAAATAATGGATAGAAATTTACATTAGATTATCATATTTTAATCTTTAAACTAGTGTTTCACCCGTGCATTGCACGGGAATATATTTATTATATACTTTGAGATGAATGTAAAAAAATTTTAAAATATTTTTAAATTTTTATGATGAATAATATCTAAATATATACTTAAGTAATTTTTAGTAGAACGGATACATGATATTCTTCAATAAAAATCTCTGGATACATATGTAAATATATTCTTTATAAAATTTTAAATTTAATCAGCAATGCACACAAAAAAGATTGCATTTTTTTAAAATTTTAATCTTTAAATATGATAAAAATTCATTTAAAATAAATTCATGCTGATCTATTAAAAATTATTTTTGCAAATTTCTCTTAATAGTACCACAATGGCACTATATAATGTCAATCAAAGTTATAATATCAAAGATGATAGTGTGTATAGACAAATGTGACACTCATTAATGCCAATATTTTTATTGATTACCACAAGCATCTATTTTTTTTATATAAAAGTAATTATAGTTGTATTTTACGAATAAAACGTACTACTCGTATTTTGTAAATAAGAACTATGTTTTGGTCATACCAAAATGGATTTCACTTGTTTTTAATCAGGATTTTGGTAACTCTTAGCATGGAAGTTGAAATTGGTAAATAGAAATTTGGTCAATTTTACGAACAGGGCATCATAGCGCCACCGAGTCATATTTAGGAATATCTTTTTTTAAGGGTACCAGAATGATAATTTTAGGGAAACTTTGATTTTTCCATATGGACAGACAGGGAAAGAATAAAAGAAGTTTAAATTTCCGAGGAAGTCCATCACTAATCGGCCCATAGGCCCATCATGAAAGCAATTTGGATAATTGGCGTCCAAACAGCAAACGTAATTAAGTCTATATCCAAAGTGGATAGAGTCCAAAACAAAGACCACGTTCTTAAACTTTTTTTTTCTTTTTCTAATAAAAATAATTCAAAACATATCTTTACTTTTTATATTTTGTAACAGAAATTAAATACATAATTTTAAGTTGTTAAATCAGATGTTATAAAAGTTAATACCACTCTAACACTTTCTGACATTGTTTTACATTTCTATAACAAAATTTAAATGACTTTAAGTAAAATTTAAGAAGTTTCTCAATTGCAATTTAAAATTTTAATTTAAAAAAAAACTATTACAAAGGAATTCAATTTCTGAAAGGGTATTGCTAAATCCACCCCATTTATGAAAATTGGACAATTTTGTCCTCATACTATGTTTACATGTCATTTTTCTTTTTTACACTTTTAGGGGCAAACTTGTACATTTATAACAGAGGGGTTGGATATAGCCTAAATTGGGGATGATTTAGCAACACCTTTTTCCGAAATATAAAATATCTTGGAAAGTAAAAAAATATGTTAGATGCTCGATTAAAGAATTATTTCAAATTTCAAAATAATTCCCAATTTATTTTTGATTTTTGATTAAACTCCATCAAGTTTTTTTT